GAGGGGGCACTCAGGGCCGAGACGAAGGCCAGGGCCGAGGCGACAATCAAGCGGGCGGCGAGAAAGGAACGACAAGTATCAGTTCGTGAGGCCACCAGCTACATCTGTGCCAGCTGCAACAAAGATTGCCACTCAAGAATCGGGCTTTTGAGTCACTCAAGAGCCTGTCGACACTGATGCGCTGACCATCGCCTCTCTGAGACGAGGATGCCAACACAAATGCTTCATCGATCATGTAAGACACGTTTAAGGGCATTTTTCTGAAACGTCTACTAAGTACCATCTGACTTCACACCAACATTTGTACTTTGAGGGTAATTCCTGAAACTTCGGGTAATCAAAGACCAATAGTGTCGTGACGCAATAAGCCAAAAAAAATCGTAACATTTTAACGTCTGTCACGTGACACTAGATAATTTGTCCACTGGATTTGGTGCAAAGTAAGGTTATTTCCAAATTAAGCCTGTAAAAAGCACTGAAAACAAGAGTTAACTGTCAAAACTTTGATTAATTGCACAGAATGAAACAGAAACTTACAAGATGTACTTGTTTTGAAAGTCAAATCTTGTTTTGTAAACTAGCAGGAACTGTTGGAATCAACGCTATAAAATAAAACCCCAAAAGGGTGCGGCTGGTTGCCATTTTGATTAAAACCATCGAAATTTATTTTCTGTTCATGAGTGTAATCGCACGCAATTGATCTTTCTTCACCATATTTAAACAAACTTTTTGGTCCCTTTAAAGGGACCATTCCACCTTATTAAACAAAATTAAATGTGCCCAAACCACAATCTCGTTCCCAGGGACTCTCTGAACAAATCAAGCACGCCCACCCTGTTTGAACGGGGGAGGGGGAGACAAAGCGCAGACCTACCGCGTCACCGTTTACGCCTATAACGTGGGCTAACCTGATTTATTTATGACGTTCTGGCTGATAAACCGGCTATTTTCAGGCCCTGTTGACTCAAAACTTTTGCCACATTTCCGTGGGAGAAATAAAACCCATTAACTTTAAATGGGACACGTTGGGTCAATATTGATTATCGTTTGCTCGATTCACGTTTTGGATTTTACAACCACCAAATCGTTGAGAGCATTTCAGTTCTTGTAAAAACAGCCCTGAAAATCTCATAGATGAATTAGTAAATACATCACACAGAAATCCTAATCTAACGGCCGGAAACAAATGAGAAACTGATTTGCGTAAGACCATTGAGGACTATTGAACCAAGAAGTAGCAATAAAACACAACTTCCGGTCTTGCTTTTCCTGTGTCGTTAAATTGACACAAAAGTTGTCAAATTCTGAGCGAGAGATCAACAACGAAGCACGTAGCAACTGTTTAAACCAGTATTTATAGTTCAGTCAACACCAATCTGTCAGGGTGGTGACAGCCTCTGGGTCATTCATTTACACATAAGCGTGTAGCGCTTCAAGTAGTTATTGGGTCGAATTGAACGAGTCAACAGTGGAATTTTCAGACTCTCTATAGCTCTGCGTATCATTGGCCTCGACGTGGCTGCCTTGCGTTGAAGAAGATCATGTCATCCCGTATAACAAGACAAAGATCTAGAGAGGGAAGTGGAGAAGCCAAGGATTTAGAAACTCAACCCAACAGGACTGTGGATTCAGTTATGCATGACAAACCTTCGTTTTGTTTGAACGAGGAGCAGAGAAAGATGAAGTCGTTTCACGAACGTAAAACGGACGTGGATTCAGCCATAGAGTGGATCGCGAAAGAAATTGTAAGCACCGATTTTAATATTCTTAAATATCAGACTCAAAGATAATCCTGTTGTGCATGTGAAAGAAAAATCAGGCAATACATAGCTGATAGAGATTAGACAACAAAACGTTTTCTATGACTCATTAAGACCACCACTTGAGACAATCGCCCTTTTGAGGCAGATATTTACATGTTATAAATAAAATATCATGCAATGTCGCGAAAGAAATCTAGATGTCTTTCATTTTAAAATTCACAAAGCTAACAACACTTTTTGACATACTGTCTTCCATCTCGGACAGCTTTTATCTCTGAGTACAATATTTTTTTCTTATCCGTCGTCATCAATAATTACTCAGTACTTGTCGTGACCTCTGCAAGACGGGGCACGTGTTTTGAAAGTAAACACGTCATTGCGTTCTTCTAGAAAAACAATTCCTGCAGTGTTTATATTGCTCTAGCCACGGGAAGCCTGGCGGTACGTGTGCCACTGGGGCGTGTTAACATTTTTGTGCAGATCAAGAGCTGTTAAATTTACTCCGGAACGTTTCATGCGATCTAAAAATGCTGTTATAGGGTTGGCTTAGCGTACGCGCGCCAGTGAACGATTTCTCCTTGGACGCCGTGTTAGAAAGAAAACATTGATAGGAATTTTTTGGCTATCACGCGTAAGTTTGCATATAGATACAACCCTGCAAGCTCTCTTGTTTGGGTTTCGCACACGGCGCAGACTGCCCTTGTTTGGGTTTCACATGCAAATGTCATCGATTTACGGGCCGTTGAGAAGAGAGCCTGCTTGCATAGTAGTACCATGGGCTTGTAGGTTTCATTAGGCTAAAAAGCCCTCTGGGACCCAGGGTACCAGGAGTTTGTATGCGGTTTTTTTTTTTTTTTGGGGGGGGGGGTGGGGGAGGAGACAATTGCTCTCGACTTGACAGGAGCAAAGAAAGGGTTGGAGCTCATGAGCATCAAGACAGAGGGATGAGTGGCGGACAATGGAGAATGGGGTGACATCCACTGCAGAAGAGGGGGTGGGGGAGCTACCTGAAGGAGGGTCTTGTAAATCATTCTTAAGTTACAAGTATACCACCTTATATTTTGGGCTGAATTACTCCCTGAATTATTTCTCATTATACGGTCCGAGACAGATTGGAAGAGAAAACAACCCCCCTGAAAAAAAAAAGGGAGAGAGAAGTGGAAGCAACTGGTACTTTCTGATTATGTAGGAGGACAAAACAAAGTGTCACGTATGAAAAATTTACGATTTTACTCCCACAGAAATTCCTAAAGCAGCAAGACCAAAATCTAATGAGACAGTTTGTCAAGCTGCGAGGTGTGCTAAACTCGATAAAGAATCGTCCGCCGCCTACACTCAATCGTAAAAGCAGTCTTCCCGAGAACTCTCCGAATTCACCGATCAGCCCACTTTATCGGATTTCCGAAGATTCTCCGGGGACGTTCTTCAGAGACGAGACCTCTCCGGGGCTGAGACGAAGAGCACAGTCGGATTTTGCGGGATCTGTACCGGAAAACTATCCTGTTTCACCACTGTCTTTGGTTGGCGACGATTACGAGCATTTCGCGATATGAAGGAGAGACAAAAATTAAAGGATTTGCCCGCAAGGCTTTCGAACGTATAGACAACGGTTTCCTTCAGGCGCAGGGACGAAATAAAAGGTCATCAATCTGTAAATGATTTATAACAAGGATGGTTGGAGTCCTCTTAGTGGATAGAAAATAAATATTTGCAGTACTAAAACTTGCTTTTTAATACTTCTATTGACTTCCCTTTTCAGCTGGCCAATCATGAGCCATCACTGCTACATTATTTACATGTTTACAAAGCGTTGTATTAAACCTTGTTCCCAACGACCTCTCCCCCAAAACTGGGAACGAGTTACGTTTTCTTTTGAATGATAAAAATGTTTGCTCTAGGGCGCTTTCCTTTCAACCGAAAATTTCGGTATATTCTGCAATTTTCCGGAAATTTACACCATTTGCGCCTCTGGTTTCGCTTCCCTTGATAGGTTCCAAAAAAGATTGTGCAACATGCTGTAACCAATCGGAGCAAACATACAGTTTTTTTTTCAACCAATCAGAAGCAAACCCAATACAGTCGTGACTTGGGTTACGTAAGTTTTCCCGCTCTTGGAACTGTCTGCATCGACTCCTGATTGGTTCATTTTGTAAACTCGTTAGTTGTGATTGACAAGCGGGAATTAGAAATTGATTCATTTGATTTAAGTTCCTGAACCAACGATGTTCACTTTACTACTAAACGACACATCAGACAGTGTTTCCTCATGGCAGCTCAGTCAAGTAACGTAGCAGGTTGTTTCGGTCGGAATTCTTTCTGAGGCCGCAAATGTCATCAGGAGTGTTGCCAAGCGACTACAAGACGTTCGTCAGGAATAAAAGAGTTTAGAGAACAAGTTGTCGTGAGCGCCCTGAAGGAAGTCAGCCACAGGGACTGCAGTGGTCGCCTCCTCTACGGTGGACTTCTCGAACCTGTCAGCAAATTCAGACAACACTTGTTAGCAACTACACGTACATTATTCTACGTGAGATGACGTATATATAGATGAGTACAGAAACTTGTTCTTCTGAAGGAAGAGTTTCAGCTGCCAAAGCTGTGCTACGGGCTAAAATTCTAACAAAGAAGCCAAAACATGCTTTGGTTTTCGATTCAAAATTGCCAAGTACTACATGTTCTACAAATATTACAAACAACGGAACCCTTACTTTTTCCTTATTTCTTCCGCGGTCTTTTGCATTTCAAACTGGATGGACTGGGCCTGTGGGTTATACAGGAACATAGATTTAATAACAATACATCATAAAAGTTTTCTTCTGGCCGCTTGTCCAATCATTCAGCCAAGCATTGAGCCTATGATGACATCTTGTGCCAATCATTTAGCCAATCACTGTAGCGGGAACAGAAATTAACCAATCAGGAGTTATTGCGAAAGCTTGCAACTGGTGAAAAGCGCGGGAAAGAATGTAGCAGATGCCAAGCGCGGAGAAAACATGCTGCCGTGCTTCATTGGCTGAGGGGGTCATAGCGGTATAGTGATTGGCCGATAAAAGGTCATAAGCACAACTTGCCTAAACGTTTTTACGACAGAATTGCAGAGACCAAGCTTGCGGCAACAAGGGAAGGTTAAGTTACTTAGCAACCACGCTGACGCAAGAACGACAACTGAGAGCTCAAGAACTACTCGCAGCCTCATAACTAATGGCATCAGTTACCTGTAAAGGACCAATATTGCCAAGTCTCACAGCGCTGGCAATGACCGTTCGCAGTGTTGAAAACAGAAAAAGTTGTTGAGTCTGAACAAGTGACAGCTCTAACAGACCACACATGAAGCCAAACACTGCTGCAAAGTGACCATGCAGGCGCTTGTTTTCGAGTTCGACCTGAAACGAAACAGAAACAACTTCTGATAAGGTAAATTTGGGTGCGTAACATTTGGCAAAATGTGGAAATTTCGGGTGGTAATAAAATAAATTAAATAAAAAGAAATAAACAAGAATATGAAGTAGCACGTCCCATGGAGACCCTCTTCGTCCACAGGTTCGGAAACTTTGCATAAAATATTTTCAAAAATGCAAGAGGGTTCTCGATGTTTTCAGTTTGTCTCCAGTTGTCACACACGATATTAACCCTAAGATTGTCACATTTCATCATCATGGTCGGGAAAGAGATTTCCTAGTTTTATACAAGAGACAATATCCACTAGACGAACTCGGACAAGTTTTTTATCTTGCGCATGGTTATGCCTCTCAAACACGAGACGAACTATTTGCTTTCATGGTGCGTCTTGAATGACAAATTAAGAGACGAACTTCTCTGAGAGGGCGCTTATTAAGACGAGTAACAAAGGAATTATGCTTCGGAATGGTTACGCCTGTCACTATAAAGACAGGCAGAGTGCAGACCCAGGGGAGGTACTTTGGGAATTTCTGGGTGGGGATGTGTCGCTGGGACCCTGGAACCCTTAGCCTATACCAGAGCTAGTTCAGCTGAATTTTGCTAC